AAATAAATAAAACAAAAAAATACTAAACCTACCCAACACAATAGAAATTGTCAATGGCAAAGAAAAACCCAATAAACGTACAAGATGATCCAGCAGTTCTTCATATTTAGATTTGGCTCCTGAAATGGATTATTAAGATTCAGATGTAGATGGCCTGGTAGAAAGCTTGGAAAAAAATGCATTTGTCTTTTTTGCGAAACTCCATATTCTGAAGATGTGAGAGGCGAACAATGGGTTTCACAAGTTTCAAGGCCGTTTTAAATGGACCTACGTTGAATGTTCTCTGTGTGTGAAAGAGACCCGTATATTTATGACATTTGCTTTGAAATAGATTTATTGTGTGGTGTTCCTAGATAACTAAATTTTTAACTCATTTAAGCAAATTCCTTTTTGTTAGATCTATTTTTACATGTCGTTTTCATAAATAAATATTTTGAATCCAAAAAACATAAAATAATTGAATGTATTTTAAAATTTTCCATTGTAAGTGGTACCGCATATTAGGATATCCGATGCCTCTAATATGGGATAGAAAACCGTTTTTAAATATTTTCCATTTTATTTTGTACTTATGCTGTTTAATCTTTCTAGATCAGGAAAAGTTTTGCTTCTAAATCTACTAAATGATATTTGGTTAAATAAAGTCGATATAACTTCACAATGGAAAAATTACATTTTAGTTCCCATACTTAAGCCAAGAAAATCAAAAAATCATGCATCGTCATATAGGGCTGTGTCTTTAGCAGCATGTGTTCTAGAAACATACAAAAGAATGATAAAATCACGAGTAGAATTTTTTTTTGGAATCTTATAATCTTATTCATAGTTCTCAATTCGGATTTCGAAAAAAAGTCGACATATGAAAACCTGACCAATATTGTTACAGATATTCAAATATCACTCTCCAATGACAAGTCAACATCAGTTTTATTTTAAAACATAAAAGAAGCATATGATAACGTAAAATTAGATATATTATATAAAAAAATGTGTCAAATGAAAATTCCCCAAAGTCTGTGTAAACACCTATATACTGTATACAGTAATAGAAATTTATTAAAAAAAAACCACTTATTCTCTGAATGCAGACAAATATCTAAATTTTTTGTGGCATTTTAAATTAATTACTATTTATATGGGAATAAGCCACAATTAAAAGTTAAATTACGTTTATTGACATTTCAATTTCCACTTCAGAAATCGTTCTCAAAATACAAACATTAGTACATTGTACATTTATATATTTTGAGAACGATTTTCGAAGTGGAAATTGAAACGTCAATAAACGTTCTTGTGGCTTATTCACATTTAAATAGTAATTAGTGGTATATTAAGTCTATTATTCAAGTGGTCTAATTGTTGACATCACGAATAATATATCGATTTTGCAATATGCTGATGATATTGTTATTTACACTCGCCACAAATCCATCGAGGTAGGCCCATCGAGCAATAAGACAAAAGAGGGAATCTAATCCTTATGAAAAGGAGACCAAAAAAGTGGCCTCTGATGGCGGACATATCCGGAAATGCGAATGCGCGAAATTTAAATTTTCCGACACTTATCAACAGTAGCTATATAACGTTTTTCAGAATGTGTCTTAGACGAGAAAGTTTTAATTAATTATTAATGATAAGAGTCTAAAATGCGACACAATTGTTAAAAAACTTCAATATAAATAAGATTTCATGTGACATTTGGGACAAACAATAACATAACCCAACTAAATTTGATGTCAAACAAGGAGAGAGACTCTCTTTCCTTGTTTAATGTGGCCTCTAAAGATCGCACTTCCTGTCTAACAATATGTTTGCCCCCACTACCTTTACATTCCCTCTATTGTCTTTGCTCATGGTAGGCCATAATCAACTTAATTATGCAATAAAAAATTCAGACAACTGGATTATCAATAACGGCTTATCAATTTCAGAAGAAAAATCAGTATTAGTTACTTTTACAAAAAAAAGATTTCGGTGTCCTCACCAAATAAAATTATCAAAATATTTGTTTCCTTACAAATCTTGCACTAAATTTTTAGGAGTAATTTTAGATTGTTAATTAAATTGGAAAGAACAAGAACAGAAAACAGTGTTAATTTATTAAAAACTTTTGGTCATTCCTCCTGGGGAGGGGATTCAAAAATAATGTTACTATTTTATAGAACACTCGTTAGATCTATTTTAGATTACGGATCTTTATTTGACCATTCAGCAGCAGAAGCAAATCTTATAAAAATAAATAAAATAAAAAACAAATGTCTTCAACTCAGTATTGGATACTTGCGAAGTACGCCTGTACACGTTATGGAAACATGTTAACTGCCACTGAATCTTCTGAGAAGATTTCTATCTGACAAATTCATGTTAAAGTTAAGAAGTCAGAAATTCAAGTTACTAGTTAAAATATCCAGTTAGCGTTGGTTTAACATCTAAATAATGAGATCAAAAAAAATACCGTATTAGTTAAAAGTTTTATTACCAATGTACATAGATATAAAGAACTTTATAAATCCAATGGAATACCTTTATGGAATTATTCTTATGAAATGTTTTTTCTCCAGTTAAGACCCATATTAACGTTCGCTACTTTTGTCAAAACAATATTATGATACAAAAAAAATCAGAAGAATTTATCATAGATAAATAATATGGTCAGATATGATGTCAATTTTCAGTGCTGAGCTTATTACCATTAAAACTAGCAATTAATCTGTGTTTAGAACAAGAAGGGAATAAATTTGACATATTTACAGACTCTAAAAGTTCGGTAGAAAAACTTAATAAGCTGTGTGTTGAATCCTAATTTAAATTAGATTCTTCTTGATATTTTTTAATCGTACCAAAATGTATCAGGTAAAGAAAAACAAATTGATATATCATGTATAAAAGCTCATTCAGGTATAGAGGAAAATGAAGAAGTCGATTCTTTAGCAAAAGGTGGTCCGAAAAATGGAGGAATACTCTGATTAAAAATACCAGAATCTGATTTTATTCCAATTTTTCAAAAGATACTTAGGGGAAAAAGAATACAACATATTATTTTAGAATTTTCGTTAAAAAAAAATAGAAATTGATAATTTTTATCAAAATTTAATATCTTACAAAATGAATTTTTAATTAAATGTTTCAAATCTATTGATATTTGAGGATAATACTGTATCTACACGATCATATATCATTATTTAAAATCTACTAATATTACTTTATACGCAGAAAAAAAATCAAATCATTAAATGAATATATATTAAAGAATAAAAAAATAATAATAAAAGAATAAACAAAAAAAAATAGAAGAAAAGTTACAATATTATATACACTTATATAAAAAACAACAACAAAAATTAAAATAAGTAACCAAAATATTTAGGCATGCACTAACAAACTAAAATTATTGTATCTTAAATTAAACTTGTATATATAGTCCGTCTAGAAAGTATCCGGAAAAAAGAAAGCAGAATTTTAATTTTACGGTATTTATTTCTATCACTTGAAATATAAAATTTCAACAAATAATTCATCTCATTTACTTATACAACCTCCATGTAAATCTAAACACTTAACTAAACGTCCAGGTACACCCGAAACTAGGTCAAAGCCATAATTTTCGGTAATGGTGTTCCATGCCTGTAAAACTGACCGAATCAAACTTTCTTTATCTCGTGGCTCTGCTCGTTCCACTTTAATCTTCATCAGTCCCCATGTGTTTTCAATGGGGCTAAGATCTGGAGATGCTGCTGGCCACGGAATTGTTGCCACTTCGTGTTCTTGCATCCAAGCTTGAGTATAAGCAGAAGTATAGCATCTTGCATTACCTTGCTGAAAATGTCACCCATCTGGATATAAAACATGAGCCGTTTCAAGAAGAAAACCATTTAGGATGTCACAATATTTCGCACTATCAACAGTACCACTAACTTTAAAGAGAGGTGTAGCACCACGCTGAGATATTGCTCCTCAAACCATTAGTTTAGTGGCAAATTTGGAAATTTGAACGATAACATTTTCTCTTGATAGGACTTTTAGATGATTTGCACCAAGCTGGAAAAAACTTTCATCAGATATAAACATATTATTAAAATTATCTTCTCGAAAACGTTGACAAAAATCTATTCTTCGTTGCTTTTGCAGAGGTGTCATTGAATGGATTTTTTTTGGATTCCTTGATATGTAGCCTTGCTTTTTGATATTTCCAAATCTGTTCGCTAATTTTCGAAACCCTAGACCTCTATGCCATTTTTTATTCTCTTTATTGTCTCATACACTGCACTTTTTCCCAGTTCAGTCAATTGCACTAATTTTTTAACGTTTCGGACACCCTTTCTATACAAATATTCCACCACTTTTCTTTTTCTACTTGCGACATTATTTCACAAATCTTAAGTCTGTTTACAAACAACAATATTTGACAGATGGTGTTGTCATGCGATTTTGTCCATAACCTACTATTGGTACAACCTACTTGATGCATTACTTTTGTCTTAAAATGTTACAAAAAGGAAATCTATTAAAATTGGGAAAAATAGAAAATTCCGGATACTTTCTAGACGGACTATAGTATTAATATGTTTATATTGTAAAAAATAGAAATGGATGATAAAACATGATTGGCCTTTTGGCTTTGCCAGTGTCATTAACCTAGAAAAAAAATTTCTTTTGTATTTTTTTAAGCTGTGTTTTTTTACTACACGCTTAAAAAGTCTTAAAAAAGAAAAGCTAAAATTTAAAACTAATGTCTAACATTAATTACGTTATTTTTAATAGTTTTTTTTTTAAAGGTAACCTATGTTAGGTGACTTTCCTCTACTGTGTTTTTGATTCGGTTTAATTTATTCTTTCTTTTTAATTAATATTATATGTGAGGTTTGTGTTTGTTTAATAGATTATTTAATATTTACTGATTATTATTTTATTTATAGCCCTTTTACTTTTTGTCATTTATATTAAGACATGACATCAATCGTTTTTATTCCTGTATACTCTCATTAAAACGTATTTTGTAGGACAGAAAGGCGACTGTCGTTGTTTAAGGGGATATCAGCAACTCAAGTAGGCTTTAATGACAAGAATGTAAAGGAAGCAAAATTGGTCCCACAACAAGTTATGTAACAACCTTAGTTAATAAATTTTGTTGATTAGGTAATACTGATATGTTTTATGTTTGTGTAATTATTAACATTAAAATATTTACATTTCATTTTATATTTTATTCTTCTTCTTCTTAGGGTGCCTGTCCGTTCCGAACGTTGGCGATCATTCTGGCTATGATGATTTTGTTGGTTGCTATACGAAATAGCTGTGTTGAGGTCTTTATTGCAAAGCTCTAGCTATAAGTTTACCCACTCTTTTTATCTCTTAACTATTATATTCAGGAATTATTTTAAATTTTTACAACCCTGTATGTAGTTAACAAATTTACATATTACTGAAACTATTTTTTTAAATTTCATCTTTACTTAAACGAAATATAAGAAAAAGTGTTTTATTTAACAACAAAACAAGTTAATTTTTGTATGAGCTGTCAAAATACGTCAAGTCCTTTTAAAAGGACAGCAGTATGTATTAGAAAGTAAAACTTTATTAATACAAATTTACAAAGTATGGAAATCCATAAAACATTCTTTTAGGTATAATGGTATTACATGTTTGCACAAAATTTAACCTTTTTCTTGCAAAGCCCGCAACAAATTATGGGACGTTCTTTTGGGTATAATGGTATTACATTTTTGCACAAAATTAAACCTTTTTCTTGCAAAGCCGGCAACGAATTATTCTTCTTGATAAACAATTAAATGGTTCATACCATCATATCTTGAATGTAATATTATGTTGGGACTTCGCGTTTAGTATCTTTTTTGTAGATTTCTTTCTCCGTCTTCTTGTCACGCGTTTCAAATTTTGTACGTTGTACTATTAGCGGAAACTACCACTTTTTCCATCGTGTATACATCCTGTAAAGACCTCTGCACTCGGAGAACAGCGTGGAACTCCGAGTGCAGAGGTTCCCTCTCACCGGCTCTGTAACCCGATTGAGCCATGTGTTACCTTTAGTCTAATTTAATTTAATACTGAACATCAAAGTTATTTTACAACACAATGTACAATATTTCATAACTAAATGTAATTTAAAGGGTTTTTACCCTAGTATTTTGGTGGCTCAGGCATTGTGACCTAGCATTTTTCGATTTTAAAAACCTGATGATGGACTGTGTGGTCCGAAAACGTTTGTTTTATTGATGTGGCCCTTTTAAGGGTTTTTTAAATAAATATACCCATTTACAAAGATTAGCCTCTTTTTGTTATACGTGGTATACAGCCAGCTACAGGAATTTTTCCTTGTGGATTTTAGTAGATAGTATTATTATGCGGGTTAAATATAATTATATAGTTCTTTTTAGAGACTTTACAATAATGTATTGTAAATTTGGCAGAGGAATTGGTAGAAAACAGTCCTCTTGGTTGAAGAATATCAGGGAGTGGACAGGAATAAAGAAAGCTGAGCAACTATTTAGAATAGCTCGAGACAGAGACAGTTTCGCATGTTAATCGCCAACGTCAAGGGGACTTGATAGGGCACGTTAAGAAGAAAAAGATTGTAAATTTAGAAAAAAATGTCACCTTCAATCCCAAACACACTAATTTGTACGCTACAATCAAGAATAAATGTCAATGTCTGACCTACAGAAACAGATTTGTATACCATTTGAGGTTTATATGGAATTAAAAAACAATACTGTTGGAAACTATAGTATTTTGATGCTACCCAAATATATACATGATAACGATAACCAGATTAAGAATTGAAATGCGAACCTAATTGAGCTAGAACATGTGTGTTCGATCGGACAACCTCTTCAATATTTTGTTGTCTAAATAGCGAAATAGTTGATATTAATTGATAAGAACTACAGTGGAGTAAAGCTGTTGTGTTGTCCACCTGCCAGTAATATTTTGGTGAGTAAAATTTAATTTTACTTGCATTCACTGGCATAAAAACATTCACAATATTTCATTCAGTAAACGACTTTTTGCTCCTCTTATCAATTATTAGTACGGCACAATAAACATTCAATAAACATAAACCTATAACTGGAACAACTACTTGTCGACTAGGCAGCCAAAATTACGATGAGTACCCCAGATAATAATATGAGTTTACCGACTGAAAACAATCCCACAACGTCAAACATGTCACAGCAATCTACTTCAGCAAACATCTCACAGCCTTTCATTTCTGACACAGTAGTAGTTAAAAAAGCACCAAAATTCTCCTTCCCAAAGAAGGAACAAGCCATAGTGATCCATTCAGAAAAAGACTTAAAGTTATATGACTGCGTTAAATCCATAGGAAATATTATCGGACCAAGGAATATATGCTTCGCCCTAAGGATCTTAAACAGCAGAATATGAATTTATTTAACCAACAAATTGCAATTATAAAATCAGAAACCATATCCTTTGAATCAGAAGATTAATCACATTAGCAAAACGACTGATCATGCCACGAATGCTAATATACCTACAAAAAACATTTACTAGATATTTACCTACAAGAAACAAACTTCAATCAAACGGACAAGAAATATCTCAATGGTTTTCAAGCACATCACTTTTTAAGAGCAACTTATATCAGAGCTAGTAAAGGGACATCTATATACTTCTAAAGACTACTGTAGCAAAGAAGTATCCTTATCTTACTCACTAGAAGCTATTGCTGCTTCTATTTGGTGTCCAAATAAAATTACAATCTGTGGCTTTTACATATTACCTTCCCACAGCCTTACTGAATTTGAGCTAATAAACTTAATTAATCAACGTCCAGTCCCTTTATTTTAGAAGGAGATTTTAATGCCCATAATTCACTTTGTGGATCAAAGAAACCATTTGGTAGAGAAAAGGTCGTTGAAAATGTTTTAAATTCCTCTAACATCTGTATATTCTATATCGGATCCAAAACATACTTCAACATTTTTAGTAGCACTTTCTCCTTAATTAATTTTAGTTTATGTAACCCAAGGTTAATACCATTTCTTACCTGGCCTACAATGGATTGCCTCGACGACAGTAATCACTTTCCTATCTTAATTCTATCAGCAAACCCAGAGCAAAAATTTCAAAATAGAAATTATCTTAATCTAACTGGAAAATCTTGTAAAATTTTATTAAAAACAAGATTAATTAGCTACAGCTACCAGAAGATCCTGATATAGCACTAGACTCCCTGGTGAGTTTAATCACCCTGACTGCTCAAACGCACATTGGAACATGCACCATATCGTCTTTTCATAAAACTGTGCCCTGGTGGAATACTGAATGTAAGAAAGCTTTCCAAGAAAGCATAACAGCATTGAATAAATATCGTAGAACCAGAACTGAGTGAAACCTAAGTAAATTCAACCAACTAATAGCTATAGCGAGAAAATTGATAAAACAAAGCAAAAAACACTGTTGGAATAAGTACATATCTTTCATATCTATAGACGCCCGTTCCAGTCAAGTTTGGAAGAAAATTAAACAAGTGCACGGAAAACAACACAACTGTTAATTCCAGCCCTCAGTTATCATAATTCAATAGTACCTGAAGATGATCAAATTGATAAAAGTATGGCCACTCATTTTTATAATAAAAGCAAAAAGGACAACTGCACAAATACTCTGACTCAAAGTAAATTTCTTCCTTCTACTACAGATCTCTCAGATGACCTTCTGGGTTTAAACTCACCTTTTACTTTTCAGGAGCTTTCCTTTGCTGTATCTACCTTAAAAAATTCTGAAGCAGGAACTGACAATATATATTTCTCAAAAATTTAGCCATCAATGGACTCACAAAATTACTTACATTTTATAATCTTTTTTGGATCAACGAAAATTTCCTAACCGGTAGAGACAATCCATCATTCTTCCAATAAAAAAACCCGTACCAACCTTCAACAGAGCCATCCTCTTATACACCGATCTCATTAACATGTGTGCAAATTAATGGAAAAACTAATCAATAATAGACTTAACTGGTTTTTTGAAACAGTGTAATATAATTAGCTCCGTTCAATCGGGATTCAGACCACATCTAAGAACAATGGACAATTAAGTATTACTACAAAACCATATAACCGAGAATTTCAAGAAGCAACACGATACAGTTATATTGTACCTTCGATATTGACAGCGCTTTTGATACTATTCCAAAGAATGTAGTATTACAGAAACATATCGATCATAGTATTACAGACAATATTTACACGTTCGTAGATAACTTTTTAAATCGCCGTAAATTTAAAGTTGAAATAAACGGTAATGAGTTAAATCTTCTAGAACAACTCAATGGTAAACCTCAAGGCTCTGTTTTTAGTCCAACTCTGTTTAACTTAACAATTAATGACATCTCTAAAGAAGTTCGTCAACCGGTAAAAGCTCTACTGTACGCTGATGATCTACTTATTTACTGTAGTGGAGCAAACATATCCAGTATATCAAATCTTATTAAAAAAATGCTGTGAACAACGTATATGCTTGGTCCACACAACACGGCATTAAACTTTCCAGCTCAAAATCTAAGTTACTCATATTTACCAAAAAGCAAAGGGTTCAAAACATAGAAATATGTGTAAACGATGTTCCTTTACCTAGAGTAAATAATCATAAAACCTTGGAGCTAATATTCGATCAGAAGATACACTTAAAAAATATAAAGGACAACTGTGCTGGTAAACTAAACATATTGAAAACATTGCACATCATCAATAGGGAGCTGAAGAAAATATGTTACTGAAAATCTATAGAGCTCTTATTCGCTCTAGATTAGATTATGGATGCATGCTGTATATGACCGCCTGTGAAACTTATCTTAAACCCCTAAACTTAGTACAAACGACCTCCTTACGGATATGCCTAGGTGCATTGCGATCTAGTTACGCCGAAAGCATGTGTATTGAAGCTTTGAAATCTCCTCTTTTTTACTCTCTTCCTAGTTCACTAGAGCTTTAATGAACTCAAAAAACCCAGTATTTAAGCTCATTAGCATCCACCACGCTAGTGAAAATGGAGACAGATCTGTTTACCTCCTACCACAATTAGTAAATTCTTTGCTAGCAGCTATAGACCTGAATATAACTACCCCATTAGTATTTCCAATAATCCTATATGGACCAATAAGCTAACTGCTTTCAAAACTAGTCTAACTCA